CATGCCTGCCGCATCCCCCTCCTCCTCCTCCTCGTCCGTCTGTCGAACCAGCTCCTCGTCCGACTCATCCACGGGCGCCACCTCCTCTTGCAGCTCCTCGCGTGGCGTGGGAGGAGGCGGCCCCCTCCTGTGGTTGGCGGTCCTCCTCCTCCTCCTGTCCGATCCCTCCGCCGCCATGTCATCTAGTTCACAGATTCCTCGGTCATGTATAGCCGTTGGATCCTCGGTAGGAACGGAAGGTACCATAGGATTTTCACGAGGATCGTAAGTTGCCTCTTCTTGCCATCATCAGAGTCTACCTCCAGGTACCTGGAGGATTTACACTTTGGACAGAACTTTGCATGCTCGTGTTCTTTCCTAAATAGGACGCACCCCTTCGGACAAGCATGTATCTGCTCATACGGCATCTTAAGTGCACGAAGGAGTTTCTGTGACTCGTACATGCTCTTTGGTAGAATGTGGCCCTTCAAAAGCAGGGTGCCAATCACAGCCAACATCTTATCAAAGCCAGTTGACTCAAGTTTAACTCGGACTTCAACCCCATTAAGCGTCCAATGACATCCAGTTGAGACACCGTTGACCAATCGTGAAGGTCTAGTCTTCGTACCGAGTGTTATTAAGCCAAAGAGTTTTTTTTACCCGAACACATGAGTGACAGACTAGTCTTCGTTTTAAAAGATCTTTTGTAAGACTGTGTGTATCCTTATTATATAGAGGCCAGAAATGTTTCAAGATCTTTGTATCATCTCGATGTAACGATCTTGAAATTAATAAATCTTTCCTTATCGAAAAAAGTGTTTCTGCCCTATGTGTGTAAGAAGCGTGTATTAGGGCATTTAACTTCTAGAAATAGCTAAATGATGAAATAGATTGTACTCCTTCTGTCATAAAAGAATATAATTATGAGATTTATGTCGGTCAAACTAGCTCTGATCAAATTTATAGTAAATAGTATTAATATTTATATCTCCAAATAAATTTATTATCAAAATATACTATGTAACTAGTCTAATGATATTTATTGTGTATCATAAATGTTATTATTTTTTATATAATTTTGGTCAAAATTTAAATCATTTGACTCCTTAAAAACAAGAATTGCATTCTTTATGAGATGGAGTGAGAGCATCTCCAAGAGACTCTCCATATCCTTCATAAATGCTAGGAATAGAAATTTTGGTGAAAAACTAATCAACAGCTTTTCTAAATGGTCATCCAAATATAGTCATCTTTTATTCCGGATTTTTCGCTAGTCAAATATAGAAGACGAGGATGACTCTCTAGAGTGCGCATGAGATATAGAAAAACTGTTGGAGAGTGAAAAGATATAGAAATCGATTTTTATGCAAATGACTCTCTAAATGATGATTTAGAGAGTGAGATTTTAAAAAAACTCTTGAGTACCTAAAAACACTTCTCAAGTTGCATATGCTGACGTGCGTCAAGTTGGCTTTTGTACTAGCAAAATACTCATGTTGGCATGTGTTATACTCCCGTCAGTAAAAAGGTTTTGCACCACTGGCCAACATATTTCATTAAATACATTCATAATATTGAAAAAATTCTAATATGATTATAAGCATATTTTTTGAGACACATCTACACATATGTCTTTATGTTAGCAAATTAAACATTTTAAGTATTTGTCACCTGAAGAGAGTATGCCATAGGCTTTTGGCAGACATGAGAGAATCTTTCAAACCATATATAGTTACAGGCCTGTTTAGAACGCAGAAATTTTTCTTTGTTTTCATATTTTTTTTATGTGAGATTGAACTAATTTCTATGAGAATTCCAATACGATTCCTGATGATTTTTTTGTGTTCCAAACAACCTCTAGACTATCAGTAATCCTAAACAACTCAATCTTTTGTGCCACTTGGCATATAAAACTTTATAGAAAAAAGTCGCACAACACCTTGCATCAAAACCATGTCCCAAATATTCTTGGGCCTTTCCTGCATGGTTAAGAGCCTGTCTGGATTCTCCGATCTAAAATTTAATCGCTAAAGTTGAAGACAAAAACTTTAGACCACTTTAGCTTACCTGTGTGGTCTAAAATTTTTGTGACGTGGTCTAAACTATCTTATGTTTGGAGCCTCAAGAGTTAAAGTGGTATAAAGTTTAGTGGCTAAACTTTAGATCATGGGATCCAAACAAGGCTTAAACATTACCACAAATACAGTGGTCATAAACAATCATATAACAATGCTAAATCCAGCTGGTTAGCATTTCCTTCCAAGGCATAGCAGCATCAATTCAAAAAAGACACAAACGGCAATTCCTTTTTGCTGCACAACGAAGGATCCATAAGAAGGGGAAAAAATTTCGTCAAGGTATATGCACTCTCTAGCAAAGACAAATGTTTGCAAACAAACTAGTGCAATTTGGGGGGGGGGGTCCTTTTAGATGCACCATCGTCTTAAACTAGCTGCGTTATGCCGGACAATTAAAGGCAAGAACACTGGTGGGGAAAAGAAGTGGAGGGGAAATGGATGGCCATGGGAGATTGTTCCACTAATGAGTGCCAAATGGGGATTAGATTAATTACACCGGGGAAATTAGTGAGACGTTTGATGAGGGGAGTTTAGGCCGCGTTTAGTTCGGCCGAATCGGCGCTGGTCGAATCACTGTAGCTACAGTGTAGCTACAACGTCGTTTGTTTTTATTTGGTAATAATTGTCCAATCGTTGACTAATTAGGCTCAAAACGTTCGTCTCGCAAAGTACAGCTAAACTATGCAATTAGTTTTTGATTTCGTCAATATTTAGTACTCCATGCATGTACCGCAAATTTGATGTGACGAAAAATCTTCTTTTTGCATAGTGCCAAATTCTGGAAAATGGGGGAACTAAACATGGCCTTAGCTTTTTGAAGCTGTGGTTTGGGCAGGTAAAGTGTTCGGATTAGGACGAAGTTGTAGTGCATCCGACACTCACTACTTGAGGGGTTTGTGCTTTGTTCCTTTGGTTTTATAATTAAGCATGTATGTGCGAGCATGATAATGCTAATGTTTTTTTGCTTGCACTAGTGCAAACTTGATTGAGCAATAAGCTAATGCGTGGTGCACGGATTCTCATACTAAATGCAGCAGGGATTTGATATTCTGTTTAAACTGTTGCACATTGCATTGCATATACAGTACTCCAATCCATCTGTTGTAAATTATAAGACAGGTTGACTTTTCTAGATTCATGTCTTTTCCTATGTACTTAGATATACACAATGGTAGTAAAAACAATATATCTAGAAACAAAATATATCTTATAATTTGAAATGTAGGGAGTACCTGTTTTGCCTATTACATTACGCTTCCTAACTTTCGTACACCTTTGATTTTATATACATGAACATGGAGATAATAACATTACGTTTCAAGTTATTCTTCAAACTATCCAGGGAACAAGTATATGCCATGGACATGGAGATAGTAACATGCATGTGACAGAGCAAGAAATGTGTAGATTTACCATATAATTGTGTCCTATAATTGTCGCGAAACACAAGGATTTTCTAACCATAATATTATTATGATTCCATAAAGCTTTATAATTCAATCCATAGATCAAACGAAAAGGACAAACGCAAAAGCAGCATCCACGAAAATTGATTCCACTTTCTTCCCAAAGGAGAGGACGACCACCTCAGTCCACACACCTTCTCATCCTTTGGTGTGTATTCTCTTTGTTCATTTTCCATTCTGGCATTATATTTTACGATGACCCGGAATATATCGAAATGCGTCAATTAGAAGCAAGTCGTGGACACATCATCCACACGATGAAGCGTTCACTAATTATATAATTATCTGACTATGGTCCTTTGTTCTCCCATTTCTTAGATAAGGATATAATCGCTGTGGTTTTTTATTGACATTTTCTTATACAGGTCGGGTTATACGCGGAGCACACTTTGGCAGCATAAAATTTCTGAGCCAGTGATCCCAGGTGTCTTTTATTGAGTTTTTTTTGTTTTTCTTGTGTCAAGTTAATTCTGAAAAGTTGTAGTGACCATAAGCATGAGTTGGTTAAACCACACTAGGAAGCCCCTCTTTGCTTATTTAGGTGTATGACAAAAGCTATGTACCTAGAAAAGCCAAAATAATTTAAATTTGAAAAATAGAGGGAGTAGTGTTATTGTGAAAGTATGTAACTAAACATAATGTATATCTAGATGCGTTACAAAAGTTTTGTATCTAGAAAAGTCAAAATGACTTAAATTTAGAATAGAGGAAGTAGTTATATACCGTGAAAGTATATATTATGAATCGGATCTATTCATATTAAAATTGTTCTCAATTCATACGAACTTAAAATGTTGTTAGTCCGTAGTCATCAGAGTTAAATGTTGTTAGTCCGTAGTCATCAGAGTTAAAAATAAGTGACTTAGAAGTTAGAACAAAACCTAGATGTACTTTATTGATAGGACGAAACCTAGCAAATACAAGCTTGTTAACCCAACAAAACACACCAAAATTGTTCCCATGCAAATGACTAAAAAAAACTGTTGCCATGCATGGTCGCTAATCACCAGGCCCATTACAAGGTGAGGTAGTGTGTGCTGGGCCACGCGCCGTGGACCGGCCCACAAGGAACACTGACTTGGTCCAGCCCAAAAGGGACGCCGACTAAGATGCTTCGGGAGATTTCTCCCGCCATCAGGTCGTTAGCCGTGCGGCAAAGCCTCTGCAACAACCTCGAACCGTCTCGAGCTCGCCGAACCTTCTCGCTCGCCACCGCGCTCCATTATCCAATTCCCTCACCACCCTATAAATGCACCCCCTCACCGCCCCGTCACCATCACGTCATACCAAGCGAAGGCACACTAGCTAGGAAGAGCGCAGAAGAAGGAAGCAGCAACTTTGGCTTGCGCATCGATCTTGAAATCTTGGCAAGTGTCGACCTTAATCGGGTGGACTGAGTTTCTTGCTCACTGATCGTCGAGTTCTGTTCGATTGAAGTTTGAAGTGCGCACGCACTGAAGCCTTCGGGTCCGTGACGATGTCGAGGACGGCCGCAGCGTTCGTGCTCGCGTGCCTCGCCGTGACGACGGCGGCGGCGGCGCTGGCGGATGGCGCGCTGCTCCCGTGGTTCGGCGACGGCAGGCGCGACGAGGCCGCGGCGGTGTCGCCGCTGTCCGACGTGGGCCTCCTGGCGGACCCGTTCCGGATCCTGGAGCACGTCCCCTTCGGGTTCGACCGGGACGACGTGGCCATGGTGTCCATGGCGCGCGTGGACTGGCGCGAGACCCCCGACGCGCACGAGATCGTGGTGGACGTGCCCGGGATGCGCAGGGAGGACCTCAAGATCGAGGTGGAGGACAACCGGGTGCTGCGCGTCAGCGGCGAGCGGCGGCGCGCGGAGGAGCGCAGGGGCGACCACTGGCACCGCGAGGAGCGCTCCTACGGCAGGTTCTGGCGCCAGTTCCGCCTCCCCGAGAACGCCGACCTCGACTCCGTCGCCGCCAGCCTCGACAACGGCGTCCTCACCGTGCGGTTCCGGAAGCTGGCGCCCGAGCAGATCAAGGGCCCGCGCGTCGTCGGGATCGCCGGGGGAGACGGTGACGGCGACGCCAAGAAGAGCATCGGCGGCGCTGGCGCCGGGGATGATCATCAGGCCAAGAAGGTGGAGCTCTGAACAGTGAAGTGAGGAGGATGGCTGTGCCTAGTATGTGTTCGCGCATGTCTTTTGTGTGGTCTGTATGTTTTGGGTACTCCACGACGTATGTCAACCTGTATGAAGTGTGCTGTGTGTGATGTTAGCTGAGGAATAAAAACCTACAGTTATTGATGATCTTGTGAGACTGAGTTTTTTTCTTTTTGACTTATTGGTCTGCATTTGAAATGAAAATCTGAAAGTAATGTGGGAAATTTTATACGACTGCGCTATATAAATAAACATCTCCATATATAACGCTTCATCAAGTGGTGTGGACTGTGGACCCGTCCACAACGTCTGAGATGGACTCGGTTCACATCGTTGGGCGACATGGGCGGAGCTAGATCCGATCGCCACGACCTCGACGATCTCCTGATTCCTGAACTCCTTTCCCTCCTACCAACGCCACCATAATTGCTAGCTTTCCATCCTGCGGTGCGCGGCTTCTTGTGGCGGCAGCGCCGGCGGCTCCGGATGGCATTCGATCGGAGGCAAAGGCAACTGTGTGGTGAGAGCGTCTGATTCCTCCCTTATTATCGCAGCAGAAGACTTCCTTTGTCTGCACAATTTCTCTGGTTACGTGTTTACATATACTGTTTTTAAGTCAGTCGTTTGCTATAATCTGCATTCTTCTAGGTGCAGAAATGTGTAGGTTCAGTTTAGGTCTAGGCCAACAGCCTTCCCTGATTAGCCTGGCTTGTGTTCACCTTGGTTCTTAATTAGTTGTGCTGGGCTACTAGTACTACTAATTAACAATAGCGCGATTACTCCTGCTGTGTTGCTGGTAATTGCTTGACTATTTTCTGCCTTATTGCGTCTGGGAGTTAATCTCGTAATGCCTAACGACCCAGCAGCCCAGCAGATAGCTAGATAGATTTGGGTCCTGGTCCAGATAGCGCCAACCCGAGCAGAAGGTCAGGCCACAGCTTTGCCGTGTGTCCAGGGCACACGGCGAGGCCTAAAAAACACTCAGCAAAAGCTTTACTGAGTGTTACACTCGGCAAACGACACTCGACGAACATAGACTCGACAAAGCTGTTTTTGCCGAGTGTTTTTTATCGAGCACTCGACAAACACTTTGCCAAGTGCTAAACCGACACTCGGCAAAGAATTTTCAAAATATATATTAAAAAAAAACCACGCCACCAGGCCGCCAACACCACGCCGCCGGCCGCCACCACCACGCCCGCTGCCACCACCACGTCCCCGCCACCACGCCGCCGCCGCCACCACGTCCCCCTCCCCCACGCCCACCGCCACCAACACGCCACCGCGGCCGCCACCATGCCCGCCGTCACCACGCTGCCGTCGCCGCCACCACGTCCCGCGCCACCACGCCGCCGCCACCAGCACGTCCCCCGCCACCACGCCACTACGTCCCTGCGCAAAAGGGGGCTGCAGCTCGCCCCTGGCCCGCGCGCCATCGACGGGGCTTGGGGTGCTGTCCCTCCGCCGAGGTAGGGGGGCCAGGAGAGGGAGGGAGGGGAGGGGGGCGGCCTCGGGAGCCAGTGGCGGGGGCCGGGCACCGGCGGCGCCTGCGCAAAAGGGGTAAGAAGAGGGAGAGAGGACGGGGGAGCTCACCGTAGGGGCCTGCGCGCTGCCGCCCTCAATGCGGAAGCTCCTCGCGGCCCCCTCCTCGCCAACGATGACGCCGAGGACGGGACCCGCCACCGCGGCCACCACTGGCGCCATGGCCTCACCCACGAGATCCGACGTTGATGCGCCTCCGGGGAGCTCCCCGTCCCCACCTCTAGCGACGCCGGGCCCCAACGCCGTGGCCTCCTTCTCCAGCAGCGGCGACATCGAGCCCGCCACTAGATCCGGCGAGGAGAACTCCCCCAAGCTGCCGCCCCTGGCCGCAGCGGCGGTGGCGGCCCTCGCTCACGCCGTGGGCTCGTCTCTCTCCCCCTTCGCTGCTCCATGGGCACCAGCCTCTCCCGCAGCAGCGGGCCCGTCCACCTCCGCGGAGGACAAGGGGAAGGCAGTCATCGTCCTAGGCCGCGCCAGGCGTCGTCATCGTCCGCGGCGTGATGAGGGGAGATTCATGGCGGATGCCCGCCACCAGCCACCACCGCGTGCCAGTCGCGTCCACTCCCCGCAGAGGACCACGGCGTAGGCGCCTCGCACCCGGCAAGGCGCGCCCAGGTCCTCCACGCACTGACTGGGAGGGAGGGGCCAGGAGAGGGAGGGAGGGGAGAGGCGGCGGCGGGGTGCGTGAGTTATAGTACAGGAGCTTTGCCAAGTGTCCTAGATCTGACACTCGGCAAACTTACTTCTTTGCCGAGTGTTTTTTGTCAGCACTCGACAAAGAGTTTGTTTACCGAGTGCAATTATTTTGCAGAGTGTTTTTTTCGTAGCACTCGGCAAAGAGCTTGTTTCCCGAGTGTCCGAGGGAATGCATTCGGCAAACATAAAATTACTCGACAGAGAGCTGGTTTCCGGGAGTGGGCACTAGTGTTGGCGATGGTGCGGCTATGGGCGAAACAACCGGTGAAACAAGTATGACCATGAGTGTGGAAATTTCTGTGGAAAGCCTTAAGCATTAGAAAAATAACAGGCACGCAATGGTGATCGTCACTGGTATTTCAGGCGACCACCTTAGATTACGGTGATCTGACAAAAATAATGGTGATCTATAAAGACCCTAAATCATAGAATAGATTATAATAATAACCCAACAAATGGATTATAAGAATTATATAATTCATCTTCAACCTACTAGGAGATTCTGGATTCTAAACATTATAATCATTGATCTAGATTACTATAATCCTAATCATAATCTAGATTTTATAATAAGCTAAAGTGAACCAAACGGGGCCTCAGTTTATTTGCAAAAAAATAAGGATTTAAAATGAGTTGTCGACTCATCATGAACACATTACTACTGGAATATTTATGGCAACACAAAAATAAGAGTTACGCAGAAACTATTCTGCTAAACATATTGCTCAGTCACAAAAACAATTGGCGGTGACTCTATCAAGCTATGAGGTGGAGTGCATCGCTGCTTCCTTGCTAGGGCATCTGACTCGAATGCCTTGCTTGGGACTCTCTATGGGCGGGTGGACAACATTGCCAAGATAAAGGTAGGCAACCAATCGATTGTGTTTTTTTTACATAACCGAACTAAGTTTCAGCCTCTACCACCCGAAGATGGTACACAGCTGAGAGTCAAAACACAATCCAAAGCCATAAGGTTCAAATTCTGATATCCAAGAATCCGGAAATAAAAGCAACAAGGTTCAGCCCAACCAGGACGAATGGCTACTAAATTGGAAAAGAAGTAGGACTAAGCTTCAATTAGAGCCTAGCTCAGTTGGTTAGGTTTTTTGTGGTGGAACCTGCTCATCCGGGTTTAAGTCCTCGACTTAGTATGGGTGCTCGCATTTTCCTAGATTTATTCTAGGATTTAACAACGTTGTGCTTTCAGTGGTAGGCGACGCTCCTGTCGACAGTGAGGTGCCAGTGGTGACTTTGTCAATCTTGAGTTGTGCCGGCATAGTCTTTCGGAGGTGCTGATAGTGGTAGGGTTTGCGTACGTGTGTTCATAGCAGTAAGTGTGCGTGCGTGTTGAGCGTCTGCGTCTGTACTTGTGTAATTCGCAAAAAAAACATCTGTGTTTGAACGCCGGTCTCTCTGCCTTATTATGCAGTTGTCGGATCCAATATGTCACTCTGAAAATTACGCCGTAAATATGTAGGAGATTTAGCCTTGTTAAAAACCATGTCATTTCTATTCAACCTTAAAGCGCAACAAAGCACAGACGTGCCTAATAAAATTTGATTTCTAAGCTGAAGACAAGCCATTTAGCCAAGAGCCAAACATATTAGAGAAACTAGTCGGTAGTTGAATTCCAAAAGTGAAAAGTACAGTATTCCAGTCAAATCTCACAAAATGGCAATCACAAAACAAATATTGAATAGTCTCTAAGGAACTACAAAAAGTCAAAAACAACACTTGACACTTCCTTGCCAATTTCTTTTAGCCAAGTTCTTAGTGAGAGTGACTCCCTTTTGTAAATACCACAAAAAAACCATCATACTTGAGCCCATATAAACCCGGTAGTCCGATAAAATCGCTAAGGATCTCAAACAACCAACATACAAACTAAGGTCGTAGAGATTCAATGTAACCAGTCACATGTTATATCACAGTTCATAAATATTTCCCATACATTAGAGTTCGAATAATTATTATAAACCAAGTTTAAAAGTAGCGGAAGCAAAGTAGTTTAACATCAACATCACACGTAGTTTAATACAAAGACAGTGTCATAGTCATCTCTAACCAAAAGCACAAGGGTGAGATGATATACAGAATGACCATTGCCCATGGTCCTAGTCCTCATCCACTGCAGGAGCAAGGCAGTTCTTGCAGTAGCCATGATACATAACGTTATCTGCAACAATGGGAATAAAACCCTGAGTACGAGAATGTACTCAGCTAGACTTACCCGTCCAACTAATATACTAAGACACCAAGGAGTATGCAAGGCTTTATAAGTAGAGCTGGTAGACATTATTTGTAGAAAAAGTATAAGTTATCTAACATATCTTTAATTGTGAATCACCAGTTATTAATCATATCTCATACTAGATTAGCACTATCCTATGCCAAACATGTTGTTACCATTAAGTCATCACAATAATAACCATATCCAGTTGAGTTCTTGCATAATCTCATAACCAACATTTCCATCATTTACTATGATGAAGTGTATTCCTGTCAGTTCTCACTATCCGGGAGAGACAACGATTCAAATCGATTCCTACCCAGTTGGGGAATTATTTCTAACACACACCCATACTTCTCCCATCAGGGTCGCATTAGGTCACCTTTGGGACAACTCAAGTACAATCGCGGGTAGGACCAGCGCCGCACCCTCAAAGATACAACCAATCTGCCAAGGGTGCTCGGGACTCTAACCCGCCCTTGGGCTTACGTCATTGGCTCTCCACACATCCTTACTGCCTCCA